GATCAAGTCAAAGTCAAGAGGAATATATAGTGCGAGACAGGTGTTACAGTTCAAGTAAACCAAAATGTTTTGTCACAGTATTAACTGGGTATAAATATATGCCTGGTAAACAAGTAATAAACTGTTTTTGAATGCACTCAAAAACAGTTCATTACAACCATCTATGCATATATATTAATGAGTGACTAAAAAAAAGAGAACAGAACCATAATTATAGTTTTTGGAATATAAATCTATCTGTTCATTTCTGGTTCAGTTTGTATGCATATGAGCTACCATATATGCAAATTAAGTATAAATTGCTGCTTCTTGTGAAACATCATTTTCTATATAAACAACCAAAAGCTGTATTGTACACTTCCAGTGTGAATACTAATTCTACTAATACTGATAGACATGTGGTCAAGTGGTTAAAAAATTCACTTTCCAACCATGAGATCTGCGTTCAAATCTCACTATGGTTGATTTATCAGGAAGGTGACTTTTTGATGTTATCAGTCTAAAGAGGCAATCCTGGCATGTGACAGCTTTGGAAAGTGCTTGAAAACCATAACATGGGTTGACTTTAGCCTTGTGAGTGAAATCGGGGAGACAAAACTATTTGGGAGCCATTAATAGTCATGCTAGCACAAAGTCACTAGTCTTCATGAGTGTACTGGCCTTGTGGCTTGTTCAGACTAATGATCTCTATCCCTGAAACTGTAACAAAGGTCTGCTCAGCATAGTTTTAATATAAACCACAGGTCAGATCTGTAAGTATTGAATATACACAAATGTGCCTGATCAGGAGCCTGCAACAGGGATTGGCTTGTCACCCTAGTAGACAAGGATACTTGGATACAAGCAGCCAGCTATTATATATTACTGTGGTTACTACTAATGTCACTTAGTCTAATAATGGTCATTATACTTTGGAATTATGCATTTATTGTAACATACTATACCAATATTATTTCTATAAAAACTATTCATCTGAAAAGTATGGCTCTTTAAGCAGAACCTGCTTTTCATGTTTGATCAGATAGAAATGCTATACTAATTGCTAATATAATTCTTATAAACTATATGCATCAGGAGAATTAACTAAATGTTGAAGTAGTTTACATATTGAGTCTCTGATTTGTAACCATAACAGTATCTACACTATAGCTACTTCCATGACAAATGTTCAAACTAACTACATTCCTTAATTCCACCAATTCAGACTTTCACAGCTAAAACCGACCATGCCATGTACACAGGGTTGAATTACCCTTATTCTCTTCTTATCCCATTGATAAGAAGGAAGTTTCTTTGAAACAGTTTTTTTTCCTGAGAAATATACCATTACCAAAGTTAGTACTTGCCTACAAAGCATTAAAAAGTGCAAATCTGATACCTGAGATTGAGTGACTAGTAAAAGCAACCATTGTCAAATTAACATCGTCCACAATATCCAAGCAACTAAAAAAAATTATGTGCAGACAGTTTTCTGAAGCTTTGTCAACAAATACTCTATGAGTTGTGATAAAGAGAGATATGCATTGTGCCTACAATGAAAACAGCCAGGAAAACACTAATGAAGTATATTACAGTTGCTTATCAAACTGGCATCCTTCTCAGCTTTCCAGTTGGTCTCTTCTGACAAAAGTTCAGGCTCATCTGAACCTGAAGACAAATGCTTCACATGTGGCTGAAAATTTCACTGAAATTACAATTGTCTGTATGCTGATAGCAACAGTAATAAGCAGGATAGGTGTCAAAAGGATGACTACATATCTGTAACCAACATTGTGCTGATGAGTCAGCAAAAGTGGGAAGATAATGGTCAAACATTTTTGGGTGAGACACTTCAGCAGTTCCAGACTGTGGTGCTTCTGCAACATGGGTTCATACTTATAAAAGTTCTAATAGTAAACAGATTTGTAAAGATAGACTTGTAGCTCAAAGCTTCCAGGACAAAGATGCTTGCAATATAAGAAATGATTCGCCCACCTGCTCTAAAGAAGTTCTATATTGGAAATAATGTCATCTAACCATTGGATGTGTAAATCCATGGATGTAAAAACTGTGTTTCTACAGGGTAAACAGTTAGGTTTATTTGGATCCTCTGAAAGAGGCCAATGTCCCTCCAGGTTATATTTGGAAGCTCTTTAAATGTGTATATGGTCTGACTGATGATTCAAGATCCTGGTACCTGACACTCAAAGATGAATTAATTAAATTTGGAGTGGGAGTTTCAAAATATGACCAGACAATATTTACATGGCATTTTGGAAACAAACTGAAGGTTTTGATTGCTGCCCATGTTTGTTTTTTTCTGCTTTGCAGGAACAGAAATCTTTCAGACCCTAGTTATAGACAAAATCTGTCATCTATTTGAAGTCAAATCTGAAGAAGTTACCAAATTCCAATATACAGGATTAAACAAAGAAAAATGGAGATAATATCAAAGTAGGATAGAATAAATATGTAAAAAAAAAAGTTAAAATATAAACCAATAGAAGTAGACAGAAATTTGAAAGATACTATCTCCACAACAGAAGTAACAGAGACATAACAGCTGATTGATCAACTTAATTGGCTAGTCACACAGACCATGCCTGATCTAAGTTAGGATGTTTGTGCATTAAATTCTGTATTAAAACAAAACATGTAGAATGTATAAAACAAGCAAACAGAGTAGTCAAGAAAGCAAAAAAAGAAAAATCCCAGATAGACATTCTAGATTTAGGAAATCTAGAACACTTAAAAAGTGATACCTCTTTTGCCAATTTGACTGATGGTGGGTTCCAAGGTGGGTATATACTTTTTTTGATAGAAAGTACCAATTGATATATGCCCATTGCTTGGCAATCAAAATATATTAGAAGAGTTGTCAAAAGTGCTCTAGCAGCTGAAACATTAACCATGGTTGATGCAGCAGAAGCATATCTTTTTTTATAGGAAATTTTTATTAGAACTGTTGCAACTTGAAGACAATAATGAAAATATACAAGTTATATGTAAAACTGACAATTTCTGTCCCTCTGATGCAGTATATTCATTAACAAAAACTTTGGATAAGAAACTTTGCATAGAAATGGCAATTTTGAGAGAAAAGAAATTGCCAAAATCTCTTGGATACGAACTGATGTACAAACTGTGGACTCACTGACAAATAAAGGAGTACCATCATTTAAGATTCTTGGGTTCATATCAGAGCCTAAGGAATCCCCTGTTTAATGGATTACATTCTTTATATATATTTTTCGCAGATTAATTTATATATATATATATATATATATATATACATATATATATATAATACTAATAATCTTATAAATATAAGCAGCTATACTTGTCCGGCAAAACCTTAGGTGTTTTAGCTTGTAAATGAACAAAATAATATATATATATATATATATATATATATATATGAACACCTGATGCTGAAAAAGAAAAAAGGGGAAGAACTGTCAATCTTCACAAGTTGCTCCCCTTGGCAACTCTTCAATCAGAAAAGGGGTGGTTTACCTGGAAGGGATTTGAGCGGCCATTTTAGAGAGGACACACATGTGGAGAATGAAGGAGTCGAATTAAAACATTCTCTTTCTATTATTTGCCTGAATTCCTTTAATTTGAATTTATAAAAATAATATCATTTGCTGAATCATTTTAAAATTATTATTAAGAGAAGTGTTCATAAGACTGGGATTTATCTAGGAAAATAATAAATAAATAAAAAATAGCTTCATCTTTCCATGCAGATTGTACATTTGAAATGGGTTTAGCTGAACTGTTGTATAAAGAACAAAGGCAAATGTATGCAGATGAGCTTAACAGTCTGAAGAAGTCATGAAAAAAACAAAACAACACAGAAAATAAACAAACCAGAAACATAAACCTCAATAATGGAGTTGCAGTTGATTGACATGGAATTATAAGACATTCTGTCACATAACTTTTCAACTTCTGCTTAGACTCTAAAAGCTACCCACTCAGGGTGAGGTAAAGTTACTAATTACAAAAGTTAATTCTTAAGATATCTTTTACCTTGAAACATGTGAGGTTAATGTACACAAAGAATATCTGTGGACCAGCAGATTCTTCCATTTTAGGACAGAACAGGAGAATACTTACATTTTGGTGAAGATAAACATAGGGACAAGTGTGCATAAGTGTGAGAGAGAGAAAGAGCATGTAGATATATATATCTACATCTATGTGTGTGCAAGAAGGAGAATTGGTTTGTGAGTACTTTGTGTATGCATTTGAAAGAGAGGAAGAAGGAGAAAGTGTGTGTGTGAATATTTTGTATCAATAAGAGAGTGACAAAAAGAAATAATGTGTGTGTGTATATATATATATATATATGTATGAGAGAGACAGTAAAAGAATGTATACATACTTTGCATGTATAAATATGTGGGACAGAGAAGAAGTGTCTGTGCATGTATTTGTGTGTATGTGCACATGTATATGTATGAAGGAGAAATAGAATGTGAGTGCTTTGTGTGTTTATGTTTGAAAGAAAAAAGGATAAAGAGAATGTGTGTATTAATGAGAAAGAGAGAAAAAACAAGTGTTTGTGCATGCATTTATGTATGAGAAAGACAAATAGAATGTGCACATAATCTGTATATATTATATATATGTGTGTGTGTGTGAGAGAGAGAGAGAGAGAGAGAGAGAGAGATAATGTGTGCATGAGAGCGCAACATATGGAAAGTTTTGATTGATTGATTGATTCATTCATTCATTTTTTACACCTCATCAACACTTTGCAGGTTATGTAAAACCAGAAAATATTTTTACATTATAAGATTTTTTTGGGTGGGCAGGTGAAATAATTATGATTTAGTGATACAAGTCTTACTAATTAACCCATAGCTGGGTTAATGAGTAAGAGGAGTGGGAAAAGAGGAGAAGAAAAGTGTATTTGCATGTAAGCAAATATAGTGAACCCAACAGGAATTAAAACTCAGCTCTCTGATTTACAATTCTGAGCAATTATCCATTACTCCAGCCACACATCCAAGCTTACAGCACCTGGTATTCCCAAGTGGTCATCCATCTAGGTATTGACCAGGCTTGATATTGCTTAACTTTGATGATCATATGGGAAACAAAAGTTTCAACCTGGTGTGGCCATAAGCCAATATAGAATGTCTCTATGCATGTATATGTGAAGGTGCACATGTGATAGAGAGAGAGTGTGTGTTTTACATACAAATTAAAATTGGATATGCTTTATCTGAATACAGGACTATCACAATGGCATTTTCATTTCTCATTCATCTGAACAATGTTTGGTTTGAAGGAATTTCTATACAACAGTTGTCAGTTTTCCCAGGAAGAATTTATCAAGAATTCTTAGAGAAGTCTTTCTTTAATAGACATGGCAGGGAATGAATCTATAAACCAATCAAGTAGAATTAGAGAATGGGAAAGTGACTAATATAGTATTATGTGTTCAAAAAGTAGATTTAGATTTAATAGTCTAGTCATAGGTTCAAATTTAAGGCTGGTGATAAAAGTTCACTTTATGGGATTTCTAAAAGAGTTCATTCATCCACTCATCTACATCAATTATTATGGCATGTCAGAGACCAAATATTTTTTGTCACAATATCCTGCAATGGTACAGAGCAGAGGAATATGAGTTCATACCTTTCCCAAGAGTATCAGTATCATCAGTCCCATGACTGGGTATGATCATAGAATCACTATGCAGCTGAGCACTTGACTAATCCTATATCTGAGTGAAAAACTGTAGTGGTTTTCATTTATGTGTAGAATGTCTTGGTCAAGAAGACAAGGCTGTATCTATCACTATCCAGTTCAAACCACAGCCGACATCCTCTCATCTTTGTCCCAGACATGTAGCTGTTGATTCCATTAGGAGAACCCTCTGCCCTGACCGTTGACTTCAGACTAGGAAGCCCTCTGCTCAGCAATACCATGTCATCACTATACCGGCTGAATATATAACTATAGAGTCCAGTAGTCTACCCTATTGTACAAGATGTCTGTTGACCCTACAAGTGCATTAATACTAATAAAATTTCTTTTCATATAAAACTTAATTATTCCTACCATTTACATTCTTATTACCAATTTGTTTATTTTATTATTTTAAAGAGTCTTGAAAGTGACTTTCTCATGTACTCTCATCTAGCACTTCATCAGTTCTGCAAATTTTATCACAAAACTGACAAGTATTCTGCAGTCATGTCAGGAGGGGCATCTACATAGTCAGCATTAGACTGCCAATTTTCATGTGATCTTAGATGACTAGCAAATCAGGCACAAGATAGAACATCCTTCCTGCATATAAGCTCAGACTGAATATCTTCTGGTATTGAGACTACATCACCTTTCCTAAGAACTCTTTTTAAGTTCAAATACTCAACCATTTTGACTTCAAAGCAATTGTAATCATTAAAAAATAGTTTTCTCTAACCAGATCTATTCTCCGACATTTTTCCCTCACTCTTTGACACTAATTTCAAGACTTTTCAGGTTGTTTTTAACAACATCCTTGAAATATGTCTTGGGTTTGTGTTTGGGGTGCTTATCAAGAGTGAGCTCTCCATAAAACAGGTGCTTAGGCAATTTCTCATCCTCCATTCTCCTGAGATGCCCTGCCCAGTGCAGTTGGTTGCAAATGAGCAGTTTCTCTAAGCTTAGTGTATTGGCCCATTGCAGAACAAATGTGTCTGGTATTAAAGAATGCCACTTGATATTTAAAATATGCCTATAGCACTTTTGATGACATCTTTGCAAGGTTTTGACATGATGGCAATATATAGCCTATGTTTATTTTTAAAATAAGTGTTATTTAGCAAGTTTACTTTATTATGAATATCTAATATATTACCAAAGAATTATTATAATATTATGAACATTTAATACATTGTATTTGCTAAATTACTTATACATTGGCATGAATAATTGTATTATTATTTTAATGTAACATTATTTTTTATGAAAGAGGACATATTTTAGAATTTGTAGGGAAAGTGTTTCAGGTTGTAATGTTTATTTTGTTTTATTTTTTACTATTGGTTCAGTATAGTTTCTTTCCCTATTGTTTATCTTTCAAACAATTTTAACAACAATAATAAACAATTGTTCTATATATTTTTGACAATAATTTTATACTTTTATTCTTTTCTTATTTACAAGAGTGGGCTGAAAAGTTCATAGACTCACTATGAAGGAGCTGTGAAATCTTTCACACATAAATTTAAACTCTTATTAATAATTGCATTGTTTCTTTCCAGGTGAACTGATATCTGACTGTTCAAAGAAAACTGTTCATCCTGTTTGTCAAAGAAATCATTAACAACATCATCATCACTGCAATACTGGTTCTCAGCCAAGAGTTTTTCCTGTTGAGGAACAGACGATAGTCAAGTCAGGAGAATAGGGAAGGTAATTAACCAGTTCAAAGGCACAGTAGCCATTGAAACCAAATACATGCGCTAGATCATTGTCCTGATCAAACAAAACATTTTCCATAAGTTTTCCTGTGTGTTTGATCTTGATAGACTTTTGTAACTGCCTTAGCAAGTTGGCATAGTACTCTCCATTGATGGTGTGGCCCTTTTGAAGATAGTCAATAAACACAATGCCTTTTGCATCCCCAAAATCCCTACAGATGAAATGACCTTGGCCTTCTTTGGAGCAGGTGAGGAGGGGTATTTCCACTGCATGGATTGTCTCTTTATCTCTGGCTGAAAGTGATGAACACAAAACTCATCCTAGATTAGGAAATGTTCAAGGAAACCAGCTAGATCTGCCTAAAGCAACATTAGATTTTCCTGTGATATGAAGAGCCTGATCAAATATGCAGAATATTCTCAACTCTCTCATGGGATATGCTAATAGCATTGTCTGTTGCCTGTCATCTCTCATTATGTGGTGAACACAATCAATGTTTTCTTCAGTGATAGCAGTTGCAGGATGTCCAAACTTTGGGTCATCTTCAAGACTCTCTCTTCCCTTTTCGGATATAGCTGATTACTTTTGCACTGCTGATAAAGCTGGTACATCGTCCCCTAATGTAACATGAATGCCCTTTGGGGATAAACCCTTTTTCTGCAAGTACTTGACAGTGCAATATAGCAGTCACTAGCCATTGGCATATTTAAGCACACCAGCCAGTCTCCTTATCCCCTGTGAACTTATTCAAAACCATTATGGAATCACCCCCTGTCTACATGGTACTTTGTTGAGAACTGGAATCTACCTGAACATTACAACCCACCAGAGTTCAATTAACAATATCACAAACCTAAGAAGCACTATGTCTGTTGTCATAGTGTTAATAGGAGATCCTTAGGTCTTCTATTCCCACATCACATAGAATGCTGAACTGACTTGCTTGATATGCATCTGGTACTTCCTGAATTGAATGTTGATGCGATTTGAGCCAGTGTTGCTTGGCCATTGTGAAATAGTCAATTTGTACAGATTGAAATAAATTAGTAAAACTTAAATTAATTTTAGAATAAATAAATACGTTTTTCTAATCTGATTTACATAAAGCAGTTTAGCAAATGTGAAAAATAACAGAACCAGCGATACAAATGAAGAAGGATGTATACTTATGTTTCATAGATTACACAAATGTATTTGATAAGGTATGACACAAAGATCTATTTCAATTGCTAGGAAAACTTTATTTATTTGAATAAGATAATAAAGTAATCCAGAATTTATACTAGGAGTAAACCACCTGCATACTGAGAGAAAATGAGTTGAGTAAATACAAAAAATAGAAAATGGTGCAAGACAAGAAGACGTCTTCTCACTAGATTTTTTTCAAATTTTACAGTGAGGTAATCCTAAGGGAAGAGGAAGTCCTACCAGGATTTATTATCAGTGGGCACAAGCTTAATAGCATAAAATACACAGATAATACTGTGTTGATGGCAGAGCCAAGAAGAAAACTGGAGAAACTTCTAGACACAGTAGTAAAGAAAACCTGGAAGAAAAGATTAAGTGTGATTGTAAGGAGGAAGCATGGTGGAGTAATGGATAGTGGCTTGGATTGAGAGATTGGAGAGCCGAGTTCAAATTCTAGTCAAGTCCATTACATTCACTTACATGCTAATAACCTTGGGAAAGATATAAATCCTCTTCTCCTGCCAGTTATAGGTAAATAGCAGGACAGACAAGGTTCTATAGCCTTGGATGGCTACTGCAGAAAGAAATGGCAACCTACTGCCGGAAAAAAATCAGCCTCGTCAGTCATGTATCTTTCGATACATGATTGCCTAAGCATGTATCATGCATGGCACATAACTGACTGATTGTAAGGTAGTGGAATGGCTCAAGATGATACATTGGAATAGCAAAAAAGGACTCCCAAAAGCTAAACAAAGTATTAAGAAACTGGAAAATTTCATTAGAAACAAAGAAAAGGGTTCTGAACTGGTATTTAATATCAGTCCTGTTATATGACAGTAAATGTCAGAGAGTTTATTCATAAATAAAGAAGACAGCTGAGGCAATATAAGATGTGGTTCTATAGAAGGATTCTGAGAATATCATGGATGGATCATGTAAGCAACAAGGAAGTTTTAAAGAAAATGGAGACAAAAAGGATGATTATATTTAGAAAGAGATGGTTGAAATTTATGAGATGCATAACAAGGAAAGAAGGCTTGGAAACTAGAAAACTAGTCTGCTATCTCCCTCCAACCTTATACTGGGTAAGATATATAGATCTGCAGCTTGAGTTCAAGCCTGACTGTTTTCTTGAAAAAAATAAAAACTGAGAAGGAAAAACATTGAAAGAAGATGTAGAATTGCAAAGTCACATTTATTGGAATATTGTCAATGTCCTGCCTGGGATTATATAGAATGTTTCCTTTTTCTCATAATAAGGTAGAGAAAAAGAGAGAAATTTATTTGAACCCATTCTAGAAAAAGAAGAAAATCATTTTAATTGGTGCTGCTTGTTAAGTATGTTTAAATATCTTTAAAAAATGGTCACCAAAAAATAAAATGTTAGCTTATTTTTAATAAAATTTACTGGTAAATCTTAAACCAAAAATGTGACAAAATTTCAAATGTTACAAATGGATTGCAAAAACATTGTTCATTTCAGTACTTTATCTAGTATACTTTTATTTATTTATTTT